GACGGAGCCCCCCCCCCCCCTCGAGACACGCTCACCTGTTGTGCCAGCCGCCCCTGCGTACGGGAGGGGGGCTCCCTGCAGTCCCTGCGCGCCCCTGGCCGGAGCGTACAGACCCCCGGTACTCGGCCCTCCCGCGTATTACCCGCCGGCGCCATCCTCACCCGGTGGCGGCAAGTTGGAGCTGGTCGGTCTCCAGGTACTCGACGCGCCCGCGGTGTACAAGTCGGGGCCTGGAGGACCTCGCGGGTCCCAGCCCTGGCCTCCCGGACCCCCGGAGCGAAGACAGGCGGACCCCAGGCCCCAGAACCATCCGCGCGACACAGGTTGATGACCGGTTGATCCCGCGGACCCGACCTCTGGCCCCGGCGGTGAAGGCGACGGGCCCGTCCGGGTGTGCGTGTGTCTTGCCTGTCCGGAGAGACGGAACGGGCGCGGCGGCGGTCGCGACGGGAGCGGCGGCGGGTGGCGCGTGGGGGCGGCGGGGGGTCAGGTCAGAGCCAGAGTCATTGCTGCTGCTGCCGCTGCTGCTGCTGCCGCTGCTGCTGCTGCCGCTGATACTGCTGCTGCTGCTACTACTACTGCTGCTGCTGCTACTACTACTGCTGCTGCTGCTGCTGCTGGGGGAGCGACGCCGGTCGCGCGAGCGGTTGCGGGCGCTCGTGTTGGGCGAGCGGCTACGGCTACGCGAGCGGCGACGAGAGCCTTTGCTAGGTGAGCGGGTGCGGCGAGGCGAGCGGCTACGGGCGCCCTTGCTAGGTGAGCGGCTACGGATGCGTGAACGGCGACGGGTGTTCTTGCTAGGTGAACGGCTACGAGGACGCTTGCTGGGTGGGCCGCTAGGGAAGCTCTTGCTGGGCGAGCGGCTACGGGGGCGCTTGCAAGGCGGGAGGCTACGGCTTCCGCGACTTTTACCGTTGCTACTTCCTGCGCTGCTACGTTGGCGGTGGGCGGTTGGCGGTGGGTGGCTACCGCTACTGCGACGATTGCCGTTGCTACTTCCTGTGCTGCTACGTTGGCCTCTGCCGCTACGGCGGCCTCTGCCACCACCGGCACCCCTGCCGCTACTGCCGCTACTAGCGATCGCCGCGACGGCGGTCGTTGCCCCTGTTGCTGATGCTGTTGGTCTGGCCAGGTGATGAAGTCCCGGCCGAAGTGGAGTCGGCGCGGCGGGCGCCGGAGGTCGGGGCCGGTGATCCTTGACAGCGGGCGGGAGCCGGCGCAGAACCGGAAGCACCAGCCGACAACACCTGAGCGTCTTGAGAGGACATCGCTGCTAGGGCGAAGAGGAACGGCGGGAACTGGCGTAAGTATGTAGTACGGAAGAGGTTACATTTGAACAGCATGTAAGATTGTTCAGGTAGAAGAGAAGAGAAAAAAAATAAAACAAAAATAAATATGAACAGCATTGTGAGATCGTGCAGCCAGAAAAAAATAATGTGAGCGGCCGCGCCAAACGTCATAGCAGCCGAGTGCCAGCAGGTAAAGGCTGCTGGATGAGCCAAAAAAAAAGCAGGTGAAGGATAAAAGGAAGGCGAAGAATTGGGAAAATGTGAAAGGCAGGCAGCAATCGCGGCGGTCGTCATGATGGTGGAGGAACAAAGCCTCGCAGAATGAGCAGCGGTGCATACTAGCGTGTGACAGATGGTGGGGCTAGAGGGCACATCGAAAATCTGAAAATTGGGGTCCAGGGCCCACGATGGACGCATGGCAAACGCGATGAGTAAGTGGCCCGGGGTGTTAGCGGCGCGTGGGCCCGGGTCTTCTACGTCCCTCCCACCGTGAAGGCCAGAACCCAAAAATCCCGGTCCAGGCAGAAAAAAGCGAGTCACACACACACCGGTTTCCGCACAGGCCTGAATCTTCAACTAAAGCTCGGACTGATGCACTCAATTTCTCATCAACATCATAATTATCGGCTGCCGAAAGGGACAGACGGCAACAGGGGTTCATGTGGCTCAAGCTTGCATTGCTACTCATCCATCCACGGACACTCGCAGGGGCACGAAAAGGGCGGGCAGGACACCGGTGGGCACAGCAGCGCTAAACGGACAATGCACCAGAGGCGCCAACACACGAGCACGTGGCTCGCTCGCGGGGGCGAGACAACAAAAAAAAGGCGGTGGCGGCTGGCGAGAAAGGAACAGGCAGGTAAACGGAAAAAGGGACACACTCAGAGCGGTGCTCCTGAAACCGCGGTCGCGGCCAGTCTACGGCGCCCTCACATACGGGCAGGTGCAGGCGCGGCGCACGGATAGGGACCAAGCGGCCATGTGCGCGGGCGGCGAAACGGTCAAAAGGAAGAACGCGGGGCGACAGGAACAAAACGAGCCAAAAGCGCGCCAAGCCGAAAAAAGGAATATCGGCAGACTACGGGAACGCTACCACTAGCGTGCGTCTACATCACCGATGGACACCATGTGACGGAAAGAGAGGCTCTGATTTGGGTTGGATCCCATGACTTGAGTGGATCTCGCTTGGTATGGGTTTGTGGCAGTTCGTGGCCGCAAGCCTTGATTATATGTATGGGAGGGAAGTCACGTTTTCAGGAAAGATGAGCAAAAGCTACCGACCTGATGATAGCAGCCTCTCGATCAGTACCGAGTTCGAAGATGCGCGCTTGAACAGCGGTAGAGAAAGCCGAGAAGGAGGCTTGTGAAGCGTGGAGAAGGCCTTCGATCATGGATATGGCTTGCACTTTGATTATTGCTGAGCATTGGAATGCTGAACAAGGTTGTGGGCTTCGTGGGCAGCACCAAGCCCGAGACAAGGGCTCCGGCAAATGTACGGAACTAGCTGTCCACACCACCCTAGGGGAACAGCGCCAATCCCGAGTGCAACTCCTTGTAACCGTAAACTATGTAACCGTAACGGCACATACGTGTGGCGTGCTTCATTTCAATAAAAAATTCTCGTGCAAACCTGTTGTTGCTTGCCTCGATGTGGTGATCACTAGCACGGCTGGAATCCCGCCTAACTCGAGAAATATTGCGTTGAAAGTTTTCGCCAGACGACCAACAATTGAACAATAAGCCGTCCTGGGCGGACCATGACTCCCCTCTCCCTAGCTCGGCCGTCGGCGGCCGCTACAGTTCCTGCCACCATTGTTGCAACAACCCACCGCGTAGGAGCAAAGAGGACACCGCACCCATCGTGACCGAATCATGGTGAGCAGCTTTTACTTCACCGCCCTGTGTTTTAATGTGCCAAGAGGCACCCACCGCCCATCGCAAGCACTCCTCCAGGATATTATCGTGTTTGATCCGACCCACCCCATGATTTTTTCCGTACGAATAGCCAGACTCTGCTCTTTTCCCTGCTGGCGGATGGCTGCCCCCAACGTGTTTGTTTTTATTGCTCTGGATGACCCCTAGCTTGCCTGGCACACACACGCGCGATCCTGTCGCATGTGCATGTGGGCCACGGCTGCTGACGATTTTCGCCCATTTCAGAAGAAAAACAACATCACGCTTCGGTCCACGAATGAACGTGATACAGTAGCAGACAGAACCCAAGAGCAAGCGACGATAGCAAAGAAAGCCCTGCTCGAAGGTGTGCATTGCTGCCTACTGCATGGGTTTGGTGCGGTATTGTGAAGGCGTTGCTGCTCTAATGTTTTTTGTCTCCCATCATTGGACTCTGTCGTCTGCCCCCCTGGCCCCCATCCTCCACTTCTAATAGCTACACGACCCAACCGGGGTCACATAGGAGGGGGGGTTGGACCCCCTCTGTATGTAGTGGTGTGGATGACAACTTTGCTCTGCCTAAAACCTCGCCAATATCGCCCACAACAGCATACAAATGAAAGCGACGACTGCTGCTATTCTACGGAGGCGATAGGACGGACTGTGGCTGTTTAGTAGAGAAACACGAGCTGCCAAGGTTGCATGGATGATGCGCGGAATTGAAATATCTACAGAAAATCATCGGGAGCAAAGAGACATGTCGATCGCACCTGACCTGCCGCATTCTTGAACACAAAAAAACACACCTCGACACCATGGTCTAGACTATCGTGTTTTGTTTCTGTATGTGTACTTTGGTAAAACACCCGAGGGTCTGTTCAACGTTAAAGACGTAAGCGGTGCTTGCGATACGAAGACCATTAATCTCGCCTGCTTCATTCTCGACGTCACCCACACCAGAGAATTCACGAGCAAGATGGTGTTGTCAATATCCAAGAAGATAACATCAAAGGGGTGCTTGCGATACGAAGACCATTAATCTCGCCTGCTTCATTCTCGACGTCACCCACACCAGAGAATTCACGAGCAAGATGGTGTTGTCAATATCCAAGAAGATAACATCAAAGGGGTGCTTGCGATACGAAGACCATTAATCTCGCCTGCTTCATTCTCGACGTCACCCACACCAGAGAATTCACGAGCAAGATGGTGTTGTCAATATCCAAGAAGATAACATCAAAGGGGTGCTTGCGATACGAAGACCATTAATCTCGCCTGCTTCATTCTCGACGTCACCCACACCAGAGAATTCACGAGCAAGATCGTGTTGTCAATATCCAAGAAGATGACATCCTGCCTCTGGAGCCAACAGTATCCGTCGAAACGTGCACCGCGCGCATTCCTATTTCACTACATGCCCAATCAACTTTTAGTACGTTGTACTCGATACCAATCTCTCTGTTCAATCACCCCGGGAGGAGATTCCTAGTGTGTCTCCATCTTTTCAGCGTTCGGCGGGGTGATGTCAACAGCCGCGAGATAAATCTTTCAAATTCACAATTCCAAACCGCGCCGCCTTCGCAGCACGCCAGCAAAATATGAAACACACCAGCACTGCCTGACGTATGACCGCCTTGGACATTCAACTATGTGGGGCGCTTGCTAAAAACTACGGAAGCGAGCATGCGCTCGCAGCATAGTCTGAGCCAGTGTGAGCTGAACATCAAAACATCAAAACACCAACCAGTCGGTTTGGTACTCCATCAATCGTGGCGTTGGCCTTGCAGCACATGACGGTTCCACTGACCTCTCTCAGATCAGCGCACAAGGCCCAATCATATTCACTATCGTAATTCGTGCCTGGATCATGTAGCTCGTGGGTACCCATGGGTGCCGATGGGGGCCCATGGGTACCCATGGGGCGTGGTGACCCATGGGCATCGATTGGTATCCACGAGGGACCATAAATGGGGCTCACGCCACGGTTAGTGAGTCCAACATTCCAGCTTGGCGCAAGAATGTAAAGGAAGGTATCGAATGGCAACATGTGGTATGAAAAAGCGAGAGGACCACACGTGAAGCGAGCTTGAATAAAAACAACCTGGCTTGGTGTGGGCGTGGAGGAAAGCGCGTCCGTGTGCCCCCACCCAGATCCACGGCGCTAGGCTAGACGCTGAACGCGTTGTTGTATATCCCTTGTTGCGTACCGTCCACACTCTCCCGTGGTTCGTACCGTGCATGCGCACGCCGCGGCGTCGCAGGTCTCTTCCATCACTGCTGCTTGCGATTTCAACGCTGCAGGTGGGATTGTTCTTCTGTTCTTAGTCGGGGACGAAGAGTAACCGTGCTGATCACCGTATTACCCATGGGCACCCGTAGGGTACTACACCACCGATGCCCATGGATGGCTACCCAAGGTTGTCACCACGGGTGCCCATGGGTACCCACGGTGATGACCATAGGTACCCATGGGCATTGCACATGGGTCACCATGGGTACCCATGGGTACCCACGGGCATTGCCCATTGGTCACCGTGGGTACCCATAGATACCCACAGGCAAACCCATGGTGACCCACGGGCATTGTCCATGGGTACCCATGGGTACGCATGGTGACCCATGGTGGCCAATGGCCAATGGCCGTGGGTACCCATGGGCACCCAACCCATGGGTACCCATGGTCATCGTTATAATTGCACTTGCTTGTGGGCGCATGAATGCATATCAAACATTTGCACCGAGACAAAGAAACAAACGGAAAACCACGTCGCCATGAAGAGGGCTACGGGGCGGGAAAGCTTCCGCATGGTTTGAAACCATTTTTCTCGTGAACGGACCCGCACGAATGGGCGTACAGAACCTAGCTGAGAGAGAAACAAAGGAACAGAAAGCCATTTAGCCTAGCGGTTCTCTTCGGCGACGATTAGAAACCCTATATGTCGTGACCATTCGTGACCACGTTGTTGAAACCCTCTTACGCGCGATGGGGCGGGGTAGCTTCTGCCACCACTTGAACCCCTTACCCTTTCCTTGCTGTATTTGTCTACATCGGCTATTTCGCTCGGACCTGAACAACCACGAAGGAAATACAAACATGCGTACACTACGGCACAAAAACGATGTATGTGGTGATGAACGTGAAGCAATATGTAGCCATGTACAGCACCATAAAACATTCACGCTCCACACCTTCACTACGAACTCCGCATCGGACATCGTAAACTATCGTCGTTCCATGGTCCACGACGCAACAAGGAAAAATGTATAAAGTGGGAACCAAGATGTGGACAAGAAGTCGGAACCACGATGTTGAAAAAAGCACGGCACATTTGGGCCCGAGAACAGACGACACCCACGTCAGGAACGTACCCCATGTCGGGAAACGTTGGCAATCTACAATAATGGTGCAAGGGGAGCAAATAAACAACGACAACAACGTCGACCCTTCCATTCTAGTAAGCCCTTTCTAGTAAACCCAGTATAGTAAACCCAGCATAGTAAACCCAGCATAGTAAACCCAGCATGACGCTGCGAGATAAGAGGAAGCAGCCGAACCGCTCGAATCTAGGTACAGCAGCCCCATTAGGCAGCGCGAATGGTGTAACACAATCCATGCTTCACCCCGTCACCCCCGGTCATTTGGGCGGGTGGAATTCCTCTCTGCTAATTTGAAAGCACCGGGGAACTCAGGACTACAGACAGGAATTATTGCGCGCTCTCAACACACCGTAGGAGGACGAACGTGACAACGGAAGTTGTGCAGTTCCTGAGATCTACCACCTGCCGTTTCGGATGTGTTGTACGTGCTTCACTAGCGGTCAAAGGACAGGTGGTGGGACCACAGCTTTTTGGTCAGCAGGAGCTCGTTCTTGAAGCAGATGTCGTTGTCCAAGACGAAACGGTTCAGCACCTTTGGCATGCGCATGAGGACAGGGACTTCGTGTAGCACTTATTGGCACCACCTACGACGCCTCGAAAGGCAGGTCGATGCGAAACACGGCAGCGCCAACTAACGGCGAGGACGTCGAAATGTGCCTAACAAAGTCCCGGCGATACGCAGAATAGGAGAATAATATCATCTACCCGCAGATGTGCAAAGTGCTTGGCAGGGTTTGGACCGAATGAACCCAAACCACCACGAGCGGAAGGTAAGGAATGGGGCGACGAAGATTGAGACTATTTTGCGAGACCAGAAGAAACCGTCACAAGAGTAAGGCCTTCTCCGCCGAAAACGAACACTTGCTGACCTTGAATCGAAGTATCTCGTGGACGCATTGCCGTCGATCGTGGCCGCCTGCGTCAAGAAGTCCTGTCCTTCTATGGGAATGTTCTTCCGGCACTGATCGCAAGCGTGCTCTACCCACGGGGAGTCCCACTAGCTCTCGTTGAGCTCCTCCTCGACACGACGTAGGCCCGCCCAATGATTGCAACCTGACTGCTCGCATCTCTCATCAAACAAATCGACAGGCTCGGGATCCCTAGGCTTGAGTACCTGCCCCGGCAATTTCTACCACTTGTGTGGACCTTGCACGCAATAAGCACGGAGAAAGAAGAAAAGCTGTGTTGAGGAACGGTAAGCAAGACCAAGACGTACCAAGTACCTACGATGTGGGCTGGAGAGTCAGCAGCCAGCACGATGCCTGGAAGCGACTCGCCATCGGGGGTCGGTCCTGTGTGAACAACTCTCCGTGCTGTCGAGAACGCGCCGTCGTTCGTGTAACCGCTAAGGCTTGTCAAACATTTGAGCCCCCCCCCACCCCCGGTACCCCCCCCCCCCCC